AGAAGCCAGGTAACACAATAAAAAACAGATTAACTGCACTTTGTCAAAATGCAAAACTTTTGTGCACCAGAGGACACCATCAAGAGAGTGAAATGACAACCTACAGAAGGAGATACCTGCAAACTATATATCCATAACACATGAAGTACCTCTACAACACAACAAATAACAACCCAATTCAAATACGGCAAAAGACCTGAACAGACATTTCTCCAAAGAAAATACGCCAGTGGCCAATAAGTCCATGAAAAGATGTTCAACATCGCTATCAGGCAAACGCAAATCAAAACCACAGTAAGACACCATCCACACTCACTAGGATGACTATCATTTCAAAACTGGAAAATAAGGAATACTGGTGAGGATGTGAAGAATTTGGAACCCTTGCACATGGTGAGCGGGAACACAGAATGGTACAGTGTTGTGGAAAATACTTGGGTGGTTTCTAAAAAATTAAACACAGGGCTGAGTGTGGTGGCTCACACCTGCAATCCCGGCACTTCAGGAGGCTCAGGTGGGTGGATCACCTGTCGTCAGGAGTTCGAGACCAGCCTGGCCGACATGGTAAAACCCCATCTCTACTAAAAATACAAACAAATTAGCCAGGCGTGGTGGCAGGCGCCTGTAGTCCCAGCTACTTGGGAGGCTGAGGCAGGAGAATCACTTGAACCCGGACGGCAGAGGTTGCAGTGAGCCGAGATCGCGCCACTGCGATACAGCCTGGGTGACAAAGCAAGACTCCATCTCAATTTAAAAAAAATTAACACAAAACTATCATAGGATTCAACAATTCTCCTCCAAGGTACATACCCAAAAGATCTGAAACAAAGGGCCTCGGAGATATATGTACACATATGTTCACAGCAGCATGAGTCACGATGTCCAAACAGTCAGGATTGTCGAAGGTCCATCAAGAGATGAATAGACAAAATGTGATGTAGGCACACAGTGGAGTATTATTTATCCTTAAAAATTTTAGGAACCAAATTCTGACCATGCCACAACATGGGTGAATCCTGACACATTATGCCAAGTGCAGGAAGCCATGCAAGAAAGGACAAATACTATACAATTCCACTCACGGAAGGTCCCTAGAGGAGCCAGCTCGACAGAGAAAGTGGAGAGAAAGCAGAATGGCGGGTGCCGCAGCTGGTGGGGGGGAAACGGGATTGTTTACTAGGCATGGAGTTTCTGTTTGGGAAGACGAAAAAGTTCTGGGAATGAATGATGATGACGGTTGCCCAAGAATGTGAAAATACTCACTGTCACTGAACTGTGCACTCAAAACGCTTACAACTGTAAAAGGTATGTTATGTGTATTTACCACAATAAAAAAGTCATGATGAACACAGAAATTAATATACCTGTTGGTAAGCAGACTGAAATAACACCCAAGTGTTATTTCAAGAACTAAAAAGAAACACAGTTTATTAAAAGAATCAAGAATTGCTTTACTAACTGATAGGAAATGATCTTCAAGGCATAATAAATGACAAAGCAAGGGGTTGGAAGAGAACAACAGATGGCAGTGTGTCTGAAAATCTCTATGACTTGCTTGAGAGTTCTGGGGCCACAGGCATTCCAGCGAGCCAGCAGCTGGCTGCTTCTCTGGTCCGAGACCCCCACATCCGCCGCACCTGAGGACTCTCCGAATGGTGATGGGAGCCCATGAAGTGGTTCACATGCTGCCCCCAAGCACACAGAAGTCACCCCTGTCATGCTGCTGAAGAGAACTGCAAAATGGGCCCAGAGATGTGCCCTTCCCAGGCCGTGAGCGTGGGCACGAGAGGCACAGCCTGAGCGAGACCACATCACTCGCTGGCGCTTCCACACAGTCTGCACCTGTTTCTGGAAAAAAACCCTGAGTAGGATGATTCATCGACTGCCTTCACTGAACAAATGTTTCAGAACCAGAGTGGCAGAGCTCCAAGGAAGCCGCAGGGGCCTGGGGTCAAACGGCAGGGGCCGCACCCAGCTCTGCTGGCAGCTGGGTTTCCTGAGGCACCCGGCTTTGCCTTAGGAGGCTGGCCGTACCCACCTGTGATGGAAGGTGTGCCTTTCCCACGAAGTGGCCCAGGGCTCAGCTGAGCCAATGGCATGAATGATGAGCATTTTTCCCCTTCCCCAGGGGCTGGGGGCCACCCCCAAGCAGCTCAGAAACCGGGGTCTAGTTTCCCTGCCCTCAGAGCCTGCTCTACAGAGCTCGGGTGTCCAGAGAGTGACACTCAGTTGCTCTGTCCCTCAGCTACAATATGGAAGTCTTTTCTCAATTTTACACACAAAGTTAATACTGTAGACAGCCTGGACTTCCTTTTCACTTATGAAACTCCCTTAAATTTGGTTCATACACAGCTTGTGTGCATCGCCAAAAAACAAGTTGAAACTGAAATCCCCAAATCAGATGCTACCCCCAGCCAGCCAGCCCAGACTCAGCCCGGGGCTGCCCTTCTGCCCACGGGGCTTTCCAAGAGAGACTGCCTGGCTCACAGGATGGGACTCAGAACCAGGGCCTGACACCCTCCCCAAAGTGTGCCAGTGCCCCGTGGGCACTCGGAAACACAGCAAGCCTAGAGACACCCTGGCCAACTCCACGGGCATGGCCAAGCCCTGCTCGGTTCCTGGTCCGCACTGCTCCCTGCAAGCTGACCTCCAGCACAGGCCCCTGGAGAGACTATGGACAGTCTTCCCTCCATGCTGTCCCCACATGCCTACCGTCCAGGGGCCTGGGGTGGCCGCCATGTCTTCTGAATGTCTGCAAAGGCCCATGGCAGGTCCAGTCCACCATGCCCCTGACTGCACACCCCTCCACATCTGCCCGTGGCTAGTCCCAGGGGCTGCCGTCTCACGCCTCCTGAGGATACCCCGAAAGCCACAGGTCTGCACCATCCACCTACAGCAGGGGCTCAGTCAGGGCTTGCCAAATGCCTGAATGAGCCCTGGAAAGACAGGAGACCAAGTTCGTCCTTCCAGCTACCCTGGAAGAGCCCTGGCGCCGGCCCAAGTGTGCTCCCTGGTCACCCAGGACTGTGGGGAGTCCAACTTCCGGGCTTCTGGCCTCTTCAAGGGTACCCCAGATGAAATGCATTCTAAAAAAACAAGAGCAGGATGAACACAGTCCCGGGGCCTCCTGAGGATCTCAAACCCTGCTGAAAAAGCCTTATGATGAATGTTGGTGCATGCAACAGGAAGCATTCTGTGAGGCGTCTGTTCTTCAGATCTGGACAGTGAGCTAGTTGCTGTCCAAGCCCCGAGTTTCCCAGACCTGAATGCAACACTGTGCAAGCCTCACACACAGGGATCTTTCTTAGGCCCTACAGAATGCCCACTGGAAGAAGGCAAATGCTCCCGACGAGGAAACAACCTATCCCTGAGAGTGGGGAGCTGGTCGGGGAGGAAAGAGAAACACCACACATTTCAGGAAATAAATCCCATCTGGGCCCCGCATCCTCCCCCAGCAAGCACAGCACACATCCGATCTGCCAGGCTCGGCACCGCTGAGAAGAGGACTTTGTCGGGCGCAGCCACGCGCCTGACCTCTCGGGCACCCGCTGGCCCTCTTTATCTCCAGCTGCCTGGCCCAGAGCTCCGAGGGCAGGCCAGCCCTGGCCGAGAGTCAGGAGCGGTGGAGCTGGGCTTGGTGTTTATGTCTGATCCAGACAACTGGGGGTTTATGACGATTTACTGACGCAAGAGCTCCCCAAAGCCGCATGCCAGAAATTAATCAAGGGAGGAGGAATTCTTTTTAAGAAACCACTTGGCGGCTGCGAACCTGCCTGAAGGGCTGGAAGTGTAAGCTGAGCTCCTTCCTCAGGCCCAGGCCACCAGGCAGCAGCAGCATACCGGGGACCCACAGGCAGAGCCCAGGGCCAACTCCTGGCCCTGGATGGAGGCAGATGGCATGGAAGGCCCTGCAATGCCAGCCCCTTTCCTCCCCTCCGCAGCTACTTCCCCACCAGCTGGTCCTGGGCCAGCCCACCCCCAAAAGGACTCAGAAGCGTTTATGGGGACCCCACCAGCCGTGCAGACCCCAATGGGGGGTCCTCCGACTGGAATGACAGGAACCCTCCATCATTTGCCAGTAACATTCTTTTCTCAGGAATTGGGTTTTATGGTTTATAATCACTCATCATTAAAAGAGAAAAAAGTAACACAAGTTTGATTCTACCCTGTCATCTCAGTGAGACAGGGGCAGCCTCTGTAGCAGCAGCTGGGACCAGAGGCCAGGGTGGGCCAGCAGCTCCTCTCCAACTTTCTACGCACCCCTCCTCCCAGCAGGGCACCCTCCTCGGCTCCCCCATTCCTGCCCTGCCTGCGCCTGGGCAGCAGCGTCAGGCAGGGTGCTGTCAGCTGGGGGAGGGCAGCTGGCATCACACAGATACCCGTGCTCGATTTGTTTTGTGATCTAATATCCAAGTATTTCTGAAATTTCAAACACTAAAGGACACAGGTTATTTATATTTATCAAAAAGGGCATGAGTCTGACAAGGTTGACTAAACTAAACCTTGCCAGACACTCGGGGCCTGGCCTGGGCTACAAAGGGTTCTGGATCCCAGGAAGAAGACAGCAGCTGACATCCCTGGGCAGGACCAGGCCCTGGTCTCCACGCCTGCCTCATCTGATCCTCACGACAACCCTGTAAGGCGAAGTCTCTTAGGGGCCCCATTTCTCAGAGAAGGGAGCAGAAGTCCAGTGGGAGGTGACCACGGCCACATGGAGGAGCCTGGATCAGCGGCCAGAGCGCTGATGGCCAGAAGCCACACACGCAGGCCAGGCACAGCCGTCTGGAGAGCCACGGCAGAGCCACAGGAGAGCCAGGAGGGACACTGGGAGTGGCACCGATTGGCCGGACTGCCAGCTTTCCACAGGAGCATTGGGAAGGGAAGGTCCAACCAGGCCCTAGAGTGGACCCTGTGCCAAAAGAAGAGATGCCTGCAGGAGCCATCACGAGGGAGTGGCCGCTGCTAACTCTGCCTGGTTCCAATGGCCTGAGCGAGGATCACCGCGGACCGTGGCCACTCACCTGGCAACCAGGACTGCAAGAGGGCGACAGAAAGGAGTGTGGCCAGCCAAGGACACTCGAACTCTAGCCCCCAAACGTCGGTCTGGGCTTCCACTCCAAGAGGCTCTTCTCCAACACTGGACAGCCCACGAGCGACCCTGCGCAGCAGCAGAAGCGGCACAGGTCAGCCAACTTTCACACTGTTTTCTTACCTCGAAGAAGGGTCCTGGTTCTGACAAACAAAATAACTGCCTCCCCACAAAGCTAAGAAGATCCCCTGTTTGGCAAGGTGCAGTGGCTCACGCCTGTAATCCCAGCAATTTGGGAGGCCAAGGCGGGTGGATCAGAAGGTCAAGGGATGGAGACCGTCCTGGCCAACAAGGTAAAACCCCGTCTCTACTAAAAATACAAAAATTAGCTGGGTGTGGTGGCACGTGCCTATAGTCCCTGCTACTCAGGAGGCTGGGGCAGGAGAATCACTTGAACCCAGGAGGCGGAGGTTGTAGTGAGCCGAGACCACGCCACTGCACTCCAGCCTGGGCAACAGAGCAAGACTCCAACGCAAAAAAAAAAAAAAAAAGATCCCCTGGTCATGAAGCCTGGCCTTCTACAGGGAGAAAACGTGCTGGCTTCTTCCTTACTAAGCTATCTGCATTCAATGTGTCTTATCTTTAAATGTTTTAAGTGTGCAATTACACTGAATGGAATACACTTTTAAATGTCATATACTAAATGTGGTGTTTGTAACCCAACCATTCGCTTTAAAGAGATCTCGCCCTTGGCCTTCTCCATCCCAAAAAGGCCCCTGAAGAGGACAGGCTATGCCACACCGCAGCCACATGGGCCAGGCTCCTGCACGCTGACCTGCTGCCCTTTGCGTGAGCACTCCCCACCTGCCTGGCCTTGGGGGCCCGGAACGCAGAGCAGGGAGGAAGGCAGGTGCCCCTGAATACAGCCCAGGGGACACAGTGACACCCAGAGCAGCTAAGTCAAGCTCTCGGCCAGCGCAGAAGGCAAGTGGGGCAGATGGGCCGTGGGAGCAAAGGGTGGCCAGCACTGCCCTGACACTGGTGACACTGGTGACAACGTCCTGCATATGATTCCTCAAGCTAAATCCAGAATGAATTCTTCCTTCACATTCAAGGGGAAAACAGTAACAGCCAGGATAAGGAGACAGGTGGGGGAGCGCAGACAAGCAGGAAGGGGCGGGCGCTGCACCCTGGTCAGGGAGATTCTAGAGCATTTACAAGGTGTGACATAAACCACCTCATAAAATATCTGAATAAAAGTGCTGTAAGAGCTGCTCGAGGCTGCAGATGTATTTCAGTCCACTTTAAAATACAACCCAGCAGTTATTTTACTGCGACATAAAGATGAATGTAAGCCTGGAAAGCAACCTGGGACTCGTGAACTAAGCCGTCCAGATATCGAATTCCACGAGAGACCCTTCAGCAGGCACACACAGGGACCAGGTGAGGGACCTGCAACGCCACATCGCAGTGGCTGCGCCGGACCCACGTGTGGGACGCCGACAGGTAAAGCTCAGCTTCCACTCTGGGCTACAGCAGGCCGGGTCCTCCCACGCCGGCCCTCCAGCCAGGAACACGGAGGACAGGATGCAATCTAAAACATGGATCCGCTCGAGGACCCCAGGCCAAGGGAGAGAAGGGGCTGGAAGAGGGCACACCCAGCCCACGTTTCCCCTCGAGCTGCGGAGCTGAGCAGCACGGGACAGTTCAGACCCCAAAAAACCAACACCGGACTGATCATGGGGATGAGGAGAGCTCCGTGCCAGGAGCGATGACAACGTGGACCCGACCAGCCCTCGCAGAACCCGCAGTCAGACGTAAGCATAGAAAGAGATACAAGAGGGAAAGGTGGACATTTCATAGCAACAAAAAGGCAGTTATTCCAACAAGAATGCATAAAATTCTAAATCTGCCTAGGCTTAAAATAGCTTCAAAATAAATAAAATCTAAAACTGACAGAGCTAAAAAGGGAAACAATGGCAATCCACAAGGACAGCGGGGATTTTAAAATTCCATTCCCACCAACTGACAGAAAAGCAGACGCTAAGATGAGTAAAGGTAACAGCAGATCCGAACATGATGATTAATTTGATGAAATGGACATGTAAAACTGGCCAGTCTCCATTGCTGACTTTTTCTCTTCAAGTATACATCAAATGCTGACAAAATTGACCATAAAATCAATATAGCAAAATTTAAAGAATTTCTAAAAACCGAAATTACATGAGTGATCATAGTGAAATTAAACTAAAAATCAATAACAAAATGAAAGCAAAATGCTAGGAAGTTCATAAAGCATTGAAATTAATAAATGTATTTCTAATTAACACAAGTCAAAAAAAAAAGAAACTAGATAATATTCTAAACCAAATTATAATTAAAATGACACTGAAAAGCTTGCACAATCTAGTGAAAGCCATACACAGGTAGAAATGACAGATGAAGAACTTCTTCAAAAAAAAAAAAAAAAATCAATGACCTAAATATTTATTTTAATTAGTAAAACAACCACCCCAGCAAATTAAAACCCAAAACAAAGAGAAATCATAGTGTAAGAGCACAAATTTATTCTTTTAATTCAATTAAAAAATAAACAAGAAAAGCAAACATGGTTCTTTAAAAATATTAATGTAATAAATAAGCTCCTGGCAAGGCCAATGAAGGAAAAATGAGAGAATAAACATCATCAGGAATTTAAGAGGGAATGACACTATAAATCCTACAAAGATAATTTAACTATAAATCCTACAGTCATTACAAAGATAATTTAAACAACTTTATTTCAATACATTTGAAAATGCAGATGGAATGTAAAAAATTCCAAGAAAATCTAAACACACAAAAGCTGACACAAGAAAATCTTAAAAATCTAAATAGTCCTATATCAGTTGAGGGTGGAATTTACAAATTTTTCCACAAAGAAAACTCCAAGATAGGTTCATAAGTGAATCCATCAAACCTTTAAGAAAGAAATAGCATCTTTTCTACATAAACTCTTCAAGAGAATCAAACAGGGGCCAGCAAACTATGGCCCATGAGCCAAGCACAATCTGTGGCTTGATTTTATACAACCAGCAAAATAAGATGGGATTTTTACATTAAGTGGTTGTTGGAAAAAAAAAAAAAAAGGAAAATGAGAAAAAAACGTGCAACAGAGACCACATGTGGTCCGTCCAGACTCAAGTTGTTAATGACTCCCCACAGAAAAATTTTGCCAATCCTAGGTAATAGAAAAAGAAGGCACCTTTACATTTTAAGAGATTAGTATAACTTTAACATTAAAATGTGACAAAGTATTTCAAGAAAAAACAATACATGTCAACACGTCAATCTCATTCATATCTTTAGATGATAAAAATTAAGCTATAAGCAATGTAAATTCAACAGTATATAAAAAGAATAGCACATTATAATAATTATTATAGAAGTGTAAGGCTGACTTAACCTTACACTTTTAAACCTCACATTTTCTGATTTTACAATCAGAAAATTCATCACAATAAAATAAAGGAAGAAAAGCATAAGATTATTAACAGATGTAGAAAAAGTCTAATATATTACGTTGAACTAAATTAAAATACTACGTTTGTAGACTGAAGAATCAAATACCTGCAATTTCACATGATTCTATCTAATATTTTAACATCTGCTTATGAGAAAAACTCCACAATAACTAAGAACAGAAGTAAACTGCACTAATCTCACAGACTACACATAAATTATAACAAATTTTATATGTAATGATGAAATACTAAAAATTTTTCTCTTGATATTATAATAAGACATAGATGCCAAATATCACCAATGTTTAGCATTTGATTGAAGGTCCTAGGCAGTGCAGTAAAGCAAGAAAGACATAAAAGGTTTAAAAATTAGCAAAGAAGAAATGAAACATTTACCATCCACAGACAGTGTGCATTAAAAACCCCAAAGAATCTACAGATAACTGGTATAATAATAAACACTGTGCAAGGTCTCTGGAGACATGATAAATATACAAAAATTAATTGTGCTTCTAAACATCATTACAAAAATAAAATTTTAAAAACAAACAGCATAACACCCCCATATACACCAAAACCTAGAAGTAAATCTAACAAAAGAAATAAAAGATCTCCAGGCTGGGTGCTGCAGCTCACACCTGTAATCCCAGCACTTTGGAAGGCCAAGGTGGACAGATTGTTTAAGGTCGAGAGTTCGAGACCAGCCTGGTCAACATGGTAACACCCCATCTCTACAAAAAGTAGAAAACAGTAGCCAGACATGGTGGCACATGCCTGTAATCCCAGGTACTCAGAAGGTGAGGCACGAGAACTGCTTGAGCCTGGGAGGTGGAGGCTGCAGTGAGTCGAGAGCCTGCCACTGCACTCCAGCCGGGGTGACAGAGCAAGACTCCATCTCAAAAAGCAAACAAAAAACTAAGATCTCTATTCTGAAAATTACAAAATATGACTGAAGAAATTACAGATGCTCAAAATAAATAGAAAGATGTAGCATATTCCGGGATTAGAAGACTCCTAATAAACTGATTGCATATGCAAATCAATGGATCCCAGTTGAGACCACAGCAGGTATTCTGTTGAAATTGAAAAGCTGATTTTAAAATTCATATGGAAATACAAAGGGCTAAAAAGAACGAAGACAAGTTTTGAAAGTTTTTAAAAGTTGAAATATCCACATTATTAGATACTATGGTTAACTGTAAATCTACAGTTAATTAAAATAGTGTTGTATTGGTACACAGATACGCAAATAGACCAATGAACTAGAATAAAGTGCAAAAACAGATCCATTTATATAATTTACTTGACGTATTACAAAGTGGCATTGGATAGCAGAGAAAAAAGGTTGATTCTTTTAAATAAATACTGTTAGGCCAACTGAATTTCTAAATGGGAAAAAAATAACTCTCAATCCCTACCTCACACCATATTAAAAAAAAAAAAATCCCAGTGGACCATAGCTCTAAATGAGTGATAAAACAATGAAATTTCTCAAAAATAATATTGAATAAAATAAAATATCTTCATCATCTTCAAATAGGCATAAATAAAACAACTATTAGACTATTAAAAGAACATCTGTTCACCAAAAAAAAACAACCCATTAAAAAAGGGAAAAGGCAGCAC